GGTAGGTAGTCAGTCAGTAGTCAGGTGTAGTCTTCAGGATAGCGGAGCAGCACTCGGAGGAGCGCTGCCCAGGTAGCTAGCGCTAGTGGTAGTCTTCAGCGCTGGGYGCCATAGCTGTAGTCTTCAGCGCTGGGYGCTGTAGTAGTAGYAGTAGTGGTGATATGGGAGAGAGATACTGGCGGAGGCCAGTGGTACTTACCTGTGGCGCCATCGCTCCAGCTCCATCTTCGTGATACCTGCATCAAGGCGCCAACTTCACAGGYTAGTACTGGACTGAGAGAGAGAGAGAGTTCTTCTTCTTCCTCTTCTAAGTCCACCACCTCTTCTTCCCCTCTCGCTGCSTACTTCTCAGTATCTGTGGACTACRRGAGAGAGATATGACTTGAGACTTGACRACATTGGATACAGACTCGACATTTGGAATTCAGACATTTTGACGAGGGACTATTTGGGCCTGTGCCGAAGACTTGGTGTTTACGACATTCCCATCTTTCCCTCCTCTTCGTCTAACCCCCCTCATCTTCGTTTGTGTATGTGTGGGGCTGGCTCAGTCTTCCTGTGTGAAGCGCCRGACCCCTCTCACACCCTGGGATGATGATGATGATGTATGTTCTGGGCTGCATTGTAACATTGATTGATCGGATCATTGGTATCTAAGTCTTCCATTTGCGCCTTCTTGTACTTTGCATTAAGAGGTCGGTTCTTGTTCTGTCTGCACCTTTACGGTATGCAACAGTTTGGTATCGGAGCGGACCTCTCATTCAGAGGACCCGCTCAATCAAGTAGCGAGCTTGCTTGATCTATTGAACGCATTAGTAAATCAAGTAGGACATCGTCAAATCTCTGAAATTTTTTTTTTGTCTTTCTTTCGCATATCTGAAAATTCGTGATAATAGCATCTCGTTATATCTGAAAATTCTGATAATCGCATTTWGTTGTTTTCTGAAAATTTCGATATTAGTATTTCNTTTTGTTGTTTTCTGAAAATTTCGATATTAGTATTTCATTTTCACGTAACAAATATCTGAAAATTTCTGAAAATCGCATTTCGTTTTATATGAAATTCCTGATAATAGCATTACGATCTACCTGAAAATTCCGATATTTGCATTTCGTTTTACGCAACAAATATCCGAACTTTTCTGAAAGTAGCATTTCGTTTTCTGATGTTTTGCATACATAGCCGAAATTTCTGATATTCGCATATTTTCTGACTTTCGTATTTCGTTTTCTAGGCAAATMGGATAACGATAGGAATRGTCATATTCTCGRAAACTCGATTTACTCRGTTCTRWAAATCGAAWCTCCATCCTATCTCGCAAAYTTTTTTTTGAAAACTGAAATCTTGCRGGGCCTATCAGCATGGCATTTTAGGCATAGTAGCAGATTGTCATATTCGGAGAAACGGGATTTAGTCCTCTTCTGAACATCGCATCTCTACTCTAGTTCGCAAAATTTTTTTTTTCAAGATTGCATTTGGTAAAAGCCGAAACTTGCCGAATCTAGCCTAGATCTCGTTCATCGTACTTTTCTGACATGTCTCACGCATAACAGATCGACAGATATACAAAAAAAAAAGAAAAAAAAAGGTAGTCCTCTTTTATTTTTTATTTTATTTTATCTGTTGATTAGGGCGGAGGAAAGGATCGTTGGGTTGGTTACCTACCTATGTTTTCCCTCCCACCCACCCCTTGCATGCACCCCAGTTCGGTACAGTGCCACGTCAGCAGTGCCACGTCACAGTGCCAGATCAGCAGTGCCACGTCAGCAGTGCCACGTCACAATGCCAAGTCACAGTGCCATGTCAGCAGTGCCACGTCACAGTGCCAGATCAGCAGTGCCACGTCAGTAGTGCCAGGTCACAGTGCCACATCAGACATAGTGCCACGACAGCAGTGCCACGTCAGCAGTGATGTCAGACACAGTGCCACGTCAGCAGTACCACGTCAGACACAGTGCCATGTCAGCAGCTCCACATCAGCAGTGCCACGTCAGCAACATGACGGGCCTGCCAGGCCAACTGGCCAATGAGTCTATCTCCGACTACAAAAAGTGCTTCCAGGCTCAGCTCGTTGCAATCGAGGCTGAGGAACAACGCCAGCTGGCAGCCAAGGCTGCCCAGCTACAAGCTGACGAAGCGGCGGCAGAAGAGAAGCTGCGGCTACAGGCCGAAGCAGACGCAGATGCCCAGGCTCGCCGCAAGGAAGCCCAGGATCTGCTGCAGCGGCATGAAGCCACAAGCATCGACAGACTCAAGTTCTGGCACTTTGAACCAAACGGCGATGAGGCAACACCGGAAGAGAAGCATAAGGAGTTCATGGCCAAGCTCGTGACCAGGCTGGTTTACACTTGTAACCACCTACAGTCCGAGCTGGCGAACCTTCAGCGGGCCGTGCGGAACCAAAAGATTCAGCACGAGGATGCCACACGGGCACTGGACGCCCGTGTACTGGACCTGGAACAGGCTGTACCAGGAACCAGATGCTGGAGCTTCCAGCAGTGCATCCTCTAGCCGCCAACTGGAGGAACGCGTTGACCACGTAGTGGCAATGCTAGGAGACATAAGTGCCTTCACAGAGCCGGCCACCATCAGCCAGCGGTTCGAGTTGCTGGACACTAAGATTAGTCAGCAACAGCAGACTGACCACAGCCACAACAACAGCTCGGCGAGGSCATAYAAGATGCCGACGTTCCGGATCRAGAAATTTGATGACTACACACATCAAGACCCGGTCGTCTGGTGGCAAGGATTTACAACGGAGTTGGGGATTCATGAAGTCCCTGACCATCTGTTCATCAGTGCTCTGTTCATCAACACCAAGGGAGGTTGTCAGATCTGGCTCAGCCACATGGCAACCATCCACGGCGTCCAGGTTTCAGACCTGTACAAGAAGGTCTCCTGGGAAGACATGACAAAGGAATGGAAGAAGCGGTTCATCGTCGACGATGCCCCGACACTCGCCATCAACCACATCTTCACGATGGCTCAAGGGAGCACACCGACACGTGATTGGCTCACGGATTGGCAGAAGATCGTGGCAACGCCCGATTTGGACTTGCCATTCCCGCATCTGCGGCGTGAGTTCTACAACAGGTCATGCGCCGCTCTCAGCCTCACACTTGGTGATCGCGAGCAGTACAACACTTTCGCGGAGATAATCAACAAGGCGAGAGAGCCCATCAAGACTAACAGGGCGGCTGCGCACGAGGAGTCCACGTGGCAGCCAACCTATGTGGAGAAGGCACGAACTAGTCCGCGACAGCAGCACTTCGCTGCAGTCCAGTCGGACAGTGGAGATAACCCAACAGCCACTCCAGCATCAAGTGACGGAGATCAGGTGGCTGYTGTCCAGCCGYGAAGCAACAACAAGTCCCGCAACAATGGGAAGGCGAAATCCGCATCGCAGGCCGRAAATGGACAGCCAGTACAAGTTCCATGGGTCAAGTTCGGCTTGACCGAGGCGGAGTACAAGGTCCGCGGCCGCTACGGCAGCTGCTATTGGTGCAACAGCACCAAGCACAAGACCTCCCTGTGCCAGGATCAGGGCAAGGAGGATCTGCGACCCCGCCTCAGCTCGGGAACTGAGCTCCGCGGAAGGTGAGGCGACTCGACCTTCTACTCCGCCAGATTCGGCCGCCTTGCTAGCGGCCTCCTACACATCTGGGGAGAACGCGAATGTCGCAAGTCCTCGGTATACTTACGAGGATTATGYTGTCCACTTGGTYCCACYRCTGGACCARCCGCTCCACGTGCAACAGTCCACCGCATGCACGGTTTCATCACCATCGGCAACCGATTCGGCAGCTTCGCCGCAATCTATCGTCGGGGATTCGACGTCATGGTCAAGGCTTGAAGAACTTGACCAATTGACGTTCACGGACTTCCAGTGGATGTCCGTTCCCTCGACCGGACAATTGCCGAAACCGCATTGCAACGTGCTTATGGCACAATTGCGGGACTACTTGCACACTGCAGTACCAGCTCTGTTGATGGACGCCGGAGTAGAGGTTGTCGACCTTCACGCTTACATCGCGAAGATCGACCTCGAGTTCAAGACGCAACAGTACGACGACATCGACACACCATTGCTATACGTACGCATTCAGATCGGAGAGGCGACCTGCAATGCCTTGATCGATTGCGGAGCATCTCGCAACTACATCAGCCAGGACTTCATGGTACGCGCCGGCCTTGGCCCACGTGTCCGGAGGAAGTCCCAGCCTACGCAAGTCACGTTGGCAGACGGTCATACGCACAAGTCAATCGACCGGTGCATTGATGCGGTCCCCGTGTACTTTGCCCCTCACGCAAGTGAGGCGGTATCCTTTGATATTCTGGACACCAAATTTGACATGATCTTGGGCATGTCATGGCTGCGAAGCGAGGATCACCCGGTGAACTTCTTCAAACGCACCGTTCACATTCGTGATCGGAACGGAGTATTAGTTCCATGCACGCTGCCCCTTCCTCATCCTTTGATCAGCTGCCACGTGGTATCCGCCGCAAGCATGCGAGCTTCCATCATCAGAGACGACATCGAGGAGATGGGGGGGTGTTTTCTCCACGCCCTCCCGCCCTGAGACGCTTCATCGACGGACTCATCTTTGGATCCATGCATTACCGAACTTCTCGACGCCTACAGCGACGTGTTCGAAGGCCCGCATGTAGTACCGGATCGACCCATCCGACACGAGATCATCCTCGAGGACGGGGCCGTACCTCCGCGCGGTTGCATCTACCGAATGAGCGAGGAAGAGTTAAGTGTGCTTCGGGCACAACTCGACGACCTTCTGGAGAAAGGCTGGATTCGGCCTAGCTCATCGCCATACGGTGCTCCTGTTCTCTTCGTCCGGAAGAAGAACAAGGACCTGCGGTTGTGCATCGACTATCGCAAGCTCAACGCGCAGACGATCAGGAACGTCGGCCCTCTCCCACGCATCGATGACCTTCTCGAGCGATTGGGCGGCGCCCAGTTCTTCTGTAAGCTGGATCTCAAGTCAGGGTATCACCAACTCGAGATTCGCAAGGAGGATCGCTACAAGGCCGCGTTCAAGACACGGTACGGGCATTTCGAATGGCTGGTCATGCCGTTTGGCCTTACGAATGCCCCAGCCACTTTCCAAGCGGCTATGACAACGGAGTTCCAACACATGATGGATCGGTTTGTACTCATCTACCTCGACGACATCTTGGTGTATAGTCGGAGTTTAGACGAGCATGTGGAACACCTGCGCATCGTTTTGGAGCGGCTACGACAGGCGAAGTACAAAGCAAACCGCGACAAATGCGAGTTCGCACAGCAGGAGCTGGAGTACTTGGGCCACTATGTGACGCCGAAAGGCATCCGTCCGCTCGCGGACAAGATCAAGGCCCTACGAGTGTGGCCCGAGCCCACCAACACCACGGATGTTCGTTCATTCATGGGGTTGGCGGGCTACTATCAGCGATTCATCACCGGATATTCCAGGATTGTTGCACCTATGACGAGGTTACAGTCGCCAAAGGTGCCATTTGTATTCGATGACGACGCACGCCAGTCATTCCAAACACTTAAGACGGCTATGCTCATGGCACCCGTCCTTAGCATCTATGACCCCACCCTGCCGACGCGAGTGACTACGGAGGCTTCCGRCTATGGCATTGGGGCAGTCTTGGAACAGCACGACGGCGACGACTGGCACCSTGTGGAGTATTTCAGCCACAAAGTGCCTCCCATCAACTCGCTTGATGATGCAAGGAAGAACGAGCTGCTCGCATTCGTGATGGCTCTCAAGCGCTGGCGGCACTTCCTTCTTGGGCGTCGTAGGCTCACATGGGTCACAGACAACAATCCATTGACCTACTACAAGACGCAGGACACGGTGAGCAGCACGATCGGACGATGGATATACTTCATCGACCAATTTGACTTCACACCGAAACATGTCCCAGACCTCTCCAATCGCGCAGCAGATGCACTATCGCGAAGACCGGATCCTTCGTATTCGACGAGGACCTTCAGCGACACTTCATCCGGGCATATCAGTCTGATCCGGACTTCGACACACTCTATGCACAGCTATCTTCGGATCACCCGCCGGCCAGCCATTACCGCATTGCCGACGGGTACTTGCTCCTCCACTCGAGAGGCAAGGACTTACTATGTGTCCCACGCGACCGTCGTCTTCGGACTCGCCTCCTCGGCGAGTATCATGATTCACGACTCGCCGGCCATTTCGGAGTCAACCGCACTATTGCACGGCTTCGACAGCGATTCCGATGGCCTGACCTCATTACCGATGTCACTCGGTATTGCGACTCTTGCGAAGTTTGTCGACGCAGCAAGCCCCGCAATCGCAATCCCTACGGCGAGTTACACCCGATGCCTATCCCACGGGAACCCGGTCTCTCCATTGCCATGGACGTCACCGGTCTGTTTCCTCATGACCGGCTCGGGCACGACGGTATCCTCACGGTTGTGGACCGATTGAGTAAGTACGCGCGTTTTCTCCTTTGCAAGTACTACTCCACGGCTCCAGAGCTGGCACGCCTCCTGCACACTGGTTGGATTTGTGGCCACGGTGTACCAAAAGACATTGTCAGCGACCGTGACACTCGTTTCATGTCGGCGTTTTGGACTGCTCTCATGCAGGAGTCCGGCACAACAATGAAACCAAGTTCGGCTCGACATCCTCAGACAGA